GATTGCTAACTGACTCGTAGAAATCCCTGGTAAGCCCTTACATGTATTGGAGTCCAGTATTTACCACCCTAGCCACTCAAATGTCCAAAAAAATTGTGATTTATTTCCTATATATGATCTAAATTTCTTCACACACAGCTTCTCCCACCTTCCACCCCCTTAAAGCAGTTTTATCTTGTTAGTCAGATTTATCCAGACTGTATAACACAGTCTGAGAACATAGAAATAGGGGCAGGGGAAGGATGGGCCAATGGCGTGTTTCCCAGACATAGATTGGAATAGGATTTGAGGTCTTGAGGAAAACTCTGCAGCTTGGCAGGGAGCGAAATACTGGGAAGTGGCAAGAAAGATGTGTACGTAGTAATACTCCTGGTTTCCCACAGCCTTCACATAGTGTCAGGATCCAGAAGCCCCCAGATGTCCTAGAAAGCAGTTACTTAAGTACTAAGGGGACCTCTGGATAAGAGCTCTTCCAGTTACGGTCTTTGGTTTCTAGATGGCAGTCAGCAGAAATGGATGCCTTCCCACGTCAAATGGTCAGAAAGAACCTGTTAACAATGCAGGCAGGTCAGTCCTGCCACCCTGCACCAAAAACCAGTGAGGAGAGACGGTAGTCATAGTGTGTAGACATGAGCCACCTTTGTTCTGCTGCCATGAGGTCACGTGAGCCCTCATACCTGGGAAGCCATCTGGTAGAAGAGTGTATGGAGGGAGTTGGGGGAGAGGGAGGAATCCGAAAGACTGACATTTATCCCAAAGAGTCTAAATCAACCAAAAGAGACCTTTAAAATTGGCAGGGACTGAAATTCCCTGAGACTGTGATTTTCAAAGTCTTATGAAACCTCTGCCCAAGAGCATTGGCTGCTTCTTCCCGAGCACACTAAGCTTCATGGCTTAGCCTTAGTGAAAGCAACTCAATGATCAGAGTCCTCAAGGCAAGACTCTGGATAAGGAAGGGGCTAGCATGGAGGAACAGTATACCAAAACATCCTGGCTACAGCCGTCTCTTAAACGATCTGACTACAGCGTATAGAACAGAGTGCAAAAGAGAGAATGGACACAAAAAAAGCCAGTTGAAAACCTGTTTTAGATTCTTTGCTGCTGATGGGTTAACTAGAATTTGGGCAGTGGAGACAGACTTAGAAATTGAGAATCAGGTGGAAGGTATAGCTTAGTGGAAGAGTGTGTATTTACTATGCACGAGGTCCTGGGTTCAATCCCCAGTACCTCCATTAAAAAATAAATAAACCTAATTACCTCTTCCCTCAAAAAAAATCTAAAAGAAAAAAAATTTATAAATAAAATTAATTATGTTTTAAAAAGAAATTGAGAATTAACTTTTATGGTGTGAGGGAGAGGTGAAGTAGAAGAAGGGTTCAAGAAAAATTTCCAGGCTTCAGACAAAAGGAGTACAGTGTATGGAGAGCCACATCTTAAGGTAAGGAGCCTTATGGGGCAGTAGGTTTCAGGAACCTGCCAGGCTAAGAAAAGGGAACAGAAACTGCCTATGGTGTTAAAATTAACCATGCACATTGTCAATGTCCAGAGGAAGTAATAATTTTGGGTTAGTAATTTAATGATAATGTTAGCAACTGATGAATCCACACTGTAAATTCGATGATGCTAATTATCCTTCCATTCACTAATTAGCACTCTATTTTTTCAAAATGGTGTGCCATAATAGACATGCATAATAGTGCTTCACTTCTAAATGAAGAATGACATGGGATATTATTAAATTAAGAGACAAATTTTTCCCACTATGCTCTCATTCATTTTTCTTGTCTCTATTTTATATCTTTGGTTTTTTTTCTTAAATTCCAGCTTTAAAAACATATTATACTGAGTACTTAATTTTCCTGACCTCCTTAAGATGACTTTGTCCTGTTTAGCTCATGTACAGTTAGAAAGCTGTAGAATTCTATAATGTGGATGGAGTGACACAAACGAAAACTCAAGTGAAATATTCTCACTATTCCATATTCTTATAATCCACATGTCACAACACTGTTTCCTCATAGGTCAGATGCAATTATATGAACTCCAAAAAATTGCTGATTCTCTTGGACAAGCTGTAATTTTAGGAAAAACCAGTAGTGTCCTTGGATTTAATATCTCTTCCATGTTTATTACTAATCCTGTTCCCAGTCCAAGTGATTCTGGCTGGATTAAGGTAAGAAAATGCTACTGGAAAAACGCATTATGGCTATTTAAAATATTGCTTGCTTATTATTTTAACTGTTCTGCTATTTCAATACAATAATTTACAGGGCAGTCTTTCTAATTTATTGTTGGCTATTTTTTACAGTATTACTAAAATGATAATGTAGTTGAAAAAGGAGTATATCTTCTAAAAAATTATGTATTGGTATAAAATGTGCTTTGCTTCTAATATTTATAACAATGCTTTTGCTCTAGAGGAGTATTGAAATAATATTGATCTCACATATTGAACATGTTTTGAAATAAACAGTGTGTATTACACTTAGCCTGGCTCAGATGAGTTTGCTACTGAATGTAGTTTATTTTGTGAAAATCACTTCTTCCCTCACGACCATTTTCAGGTGACTGCCCAACCGGTTGAAAGGCTTGCATTTCCCGTTCATCATGTGGCCTTTGTGTCCTCACTGTCAGTGATCACTCAGCCAGCGGCAACACAGCCAGGACAGCCATTTTCTCAGCAGCCTTCAGTAAAGGCAGTAGATTCCGATGTAAGTTATAACTCAAACATTTATCTAAGTGGAAGAGTTAAGCGATAAACCTTGGAGGGTGAACCCAACTTCACTAATCCTGGTACCCTGGCAACCTGAGGATGGCACTGCCTCTTAGAATTTGGACTGGTATCCATGGATCTCATATTTTCCTGTTTTAAAAATGTTCCGTTTCAATGACTTTACTCGGCTGCCCATATTTTGAACTCTTTGTGTAGGAAAAGGAGCTTCTGCAGACTAAAAATTTGACATGAGGCATTAAAAAATAAAGTTCCATATATCTTTAAAGGTAAAAAAAGCATGGGAACAGGACAATTGTTATAATTCTCTACTGTTTTCCTCTTAGGGTAATTGTGTATCAGTCGAGATTACTTCACTGACTTTGAAGGCTGTACTAAAGGACTCCAATAACAACCAAATCAGTGGTCTTAGTGGAAATACAACAGTTCCATTTAGTGGCTGTTGGGCCAACTATACAGATCTTACTCTTCTTAGAACAGGTGAGTGTACTATTTTGGATCCTCATATATAGGCCCATAAACAGGGACAATTATAATTTTCTTTCAATGAAAAGATAAATTACAGAAATCAGAATGTCTAGCTTCCAAAAATACATTTAATATGTAAAACAAAGTAAAAAATCAAATAAGCAATTAAGGGAATTAAAACAGGTAATTTGAGGATGTACATCAAAATTATATCATGATTCACATTTTCTTCTTCATCTGTGTGTATTTTTTAAATTTTCTCACCATGTATTACATTTATAATAGAAAACTTAATATGTAAAATTTTCAAATTCAAGGAAAAAAAGGATGAGATTGTGTCATATAATTTTAATGGGCCATGCAGGAGTTCAGAGTTGAGCTGGAAAGTCGGTTCTGGTCTTTCTGAAAGCCAATGCAGAGGGGAAAACGTGAGCGTTATCATGATTCACAGTGCCCGTCAGGTAAACCAGTTGCTGTGGAGAATTACAACTTGCTCTGAGATCAAAACAGATGTCTCGTATGAGGTTTCATGAAGTATATTCCTGATCCCTCCAGCATGGTTTCAGTAATGCAGTGATAACTTCCACAGTGAGGTTTCTTGTGTTATCTCCATGTGGGTTGATGGCATAACTCCAATTGGTAAAAGCCTTTCTACCAAGGCAAAAATGGTATGTCCAAAAAACAAGTCTCTATTAATAATAGATTGTTCAGTGTTGAAAAGGATGAAATAGATTTCTTGATACTTGATACAGGCCTCCATTAATCTGCTTACCTCAACCTGGGCTCATTTAAGACCTTTGTAGGCCCTGACTCCTAAAAAAGTTTTACAGTGGCAGCACTCCACTCTCCTCACCACTGTTATTTCAAACACACACACTAAAAGTCAGAATAAAAGCAAAAATAAAGAGTAAAAGAAATAGAAGAAATTCTAACAATAGTCTTTTTCTTCATATAACTAAATATCAAAAGATAAAATTATTTCAAAAGAATTTTTTCCTTGTTTTCTGTTCCTTATGCTTTGATGATGCCTTGCACCAGGTAAGTTTGATCTGCCTACTGAGCAGCAATGTCTCACCCTAGAAGAGCTCGATGAGAATCCAGTGGCACTGAGTTCAATATTGTGCTCTGGGACAAGTACATGGAGTGGCCTATACGCTTGGTGGTTAAGGGCAGTGCCAGATTCTTCAATAATCAGCTTAAATAGTGGTAGGATTGGGACCTTTTTGTGGGAAATGAGGCACCTGACAAGAACCCTGCCTGAGAGAAGGTTGCCCACCTCTCCAGGAAGATGGACTCAAGAGATGCCCAGTGGCAAAGACCCAACCTGAGGATCATGGTCTGCAGACTACCACTCCCAAATGCCATGTTCCGCAGTAACCAGGATCACTGGGGTGCTGACGCAGTAATGTAGGTTTCAACAAACCTACATTTGTGATAACAAAATAGCACTCTTCTTTTATCCAGTAAATTTTCTTTCAGAGTTTAAAGCTTCCCTCGGAGTATTTATCTGACCTGCTACAGAGAAGTGTCATTGCTTCTGATACCTTCCTTCCTTCCTTCTTTCTAGCTTTCTGCCTTGCTTTCTTTTTTTTCATCAAGTGTAGGGTTTCAGTTCCCTGGTTGTGTATAGTAAGGAAGGTCAAGTATTGTCATCGCTTCATTATTTTTAGATCAGTTAGTCAGTTTGTAGTTTAAAAAACTTTAATAACAGAGAATATATAAGAAAATTAATAAAGCGTCCTCCTTGTAACACTTTCTAGTAGGTACCCCACCCTGTTAGGAACTGTGAGCAGTCCCCCTGCGTATTAGACTGCAGCCTGACAGCGTGGCCCCACCCCCTCTTCTTCTCACAGCTCCACAAAGAGCAAAGCAGGGGCCACCAGGGCAGAGGAGGTGTGGGCTGTAGTTTCTAACACAGAAAACGAGGATGTGAGAATTAGGTTAAAAAAAAAAAGTGGAAGAAGAAAGTAAACAGTTGAGGCTGCATCTTTTGAACAACCTGGAGACAATATTACTGCTGAATAGTAACATTTGGGACATGTTTATTTAGCAACCTGTGTGATATACAGTGCTTGTCTCAGTTTCTGTCACTACACAGCATACTGGCCCCATATCTAACGGCTTAAAACAGCCACCATCTCACTTGCTCACAATAGTGTGGGTCAGGAATCTGGGATTCTTATCTCTGCTCCATGATGTGGGGGCCTTCGCTGGGATAGCTTGATTGGAGCCATGTCATGGAGGTTTTGATCTTGGATTTCGGCTGAGTTCTTCACTCCTCCCCCAGGGAGTGGCCTCTGCACTAGCCTAGCTTGGGAGTCTTCACAATACTGCAGGAGAAAAAACAAAACAAAAAAATCCAAATTCTTTACACATCAAAACCATTAAGAAAAAATACATTCATTTTTTTTTCAAACTGAAAAAAGGGAGCACTTATTGTCATGAATTGTATCAGTGGCAGAATATTCTATAGTACAATGTCCTTCTGTCTCAAAGGTTACAGGATGCATTGCTATAGGAAGCACAATGTGGTCAGTAGATTCTCTTCTGAAAAAGAAAAGAACAAAAACATAAATGATTTTTTAAAAAAGATAATAGAAAAAAACAGAAGGATGAAAACTTTAGAATACTACAAGTATTGCACACTCTGCTCTGTGTGGTCACCACTACTATTGACAGCAGTAGTCCAAGAATAAATTACATCAAGGAAAATAATGTTGGTTATCTGATGTTCACAAACTGTGGGAGGATTTAACACACTGCTTAAGATGAGTCCTTTAAGTTCCAAACTCTAAATATATCTAACAAGTGTTTCTTGAAGCTTGTCTACCTTGGAGAAAAAGAAAGAGAGGGTTCACAATCTTGCAATACAAAAGTAGCAAATGACTTAAAGCAAATGTGGGAAACAGTTAAAAATGGTTGAATCTACGTGGAGGGCACATGGGTGTTTGTGGTACTCTTCTTCCAACTCTTCTTTATGTTTGAAATTTTTCAAAATAAAAAGCTCAATATCTACCCCTACTTCCCCCAAGTGAGGCTTCTTCACTCCTCGGTCCAGTGCATGGGGATCAGACAGATGCTCAGCACCCTCCCTTCCCTCCCCTACTGTCCCTCGTTTCAAACAGCCTCTCTCCAGTCCTGGGCACTGGGAAAGGACCCCTAAGGAACAGGTACTGATGCTACAGAAAGAAAGTCTACCCAGAGTCCCCCTGCCCATAGTTGATGGGCAGATGGAACTCTTCTAATTCTGAGACCCTCTCTTCACTTGTTTATGCTTAAACTCATCCATTTGACTCAATTTCCAAGATTATTTCGTTAGGGATTATATAGTAATTCAAAGTAAGTGAAAACCCAAGTGGGAGAGTATGAAAACAAATAATAAAAGGAAGTCAAATACTATGATGATTTCCCCCCCACCCCAGGAAAAAATTTAAAGATTGAATTTGTCCTGGATGACACGGTTCGGGCGGAGTCCAGGGCCTTCAGCCTCGCCGCGCACTCTGTCTCCGGCGGCGGCGGCTACAGCAAAGCGCCCGCCGCGGGCACAGCCGCCCAGATGGTGGCCACCGTAGGGAGCTGTCTGATGGGACGGCTGCTGCTCTCGGAAATATTTACGACTGCAGTTTTGATTTTGAACGTAACTCCAGGTAAGCAGAGTTCACTTTTTCTGTTTGTCTTCACGTACTTAGGTACCAGAAAACGTTTACTAAAGACTGAGTGCACGGCACGGCCCCGCCGCGGACACGAAGACGCAGAATCGAATCAGCCGTTGAGAAAGTGGCTTCAGTGGTAGAGACAAGACCACCCTACGGGAATGTTAGTCACATTATATGATGGCATTTAAGAAAGTGGGGAATGAGAAATGCAGGTTACGTTAGGACTGTTTCAGTTACCAGGGTCGGAAGCTCAGCTCCAATTGGTTTAGGAAATGAAGTGAACTCGCTTAACAGAGAAGTCTCGAAGTAGCCACGGCGAGAACCAAGGACTCAAATGATGGCATCCAGAACCTGTCTCTCTCACCTCTCGGCTCCATTCTTCTCAGTGATAGGTCTACTCCCAGGCTGACTCTCTGCCAACACGGTACAGGTACCTCCAGCAACTTCGTTTTTACATTCTGCCGGCTCAGCAGCTAATGCAGAAAGAGCAAACCTCTTTCTCAACACTGCCGGCAAACATCCCAGAGCTGTCATTGCCTTGGGCTGCCTGCCCTGAACCCATTACTGTGGCCACAAGATGCTGTGAATTTGAGATGGGGTGATAATTTAAAAGGACACCAGTATTTCAGTAGTAAAAGCCAAGACTAGATTTTAAAGTTAAATATGAATAAGATCAGGATGAAGGGAAATAATAAGGATGGTTCTGGGAGTAGCAGAACATACTGGAGGCCGGGGCTTCAGGAAGAAATAATCCTTTCCTCCCTCCTGATGGTAGAAACTAATTCGAAGCCAGCTGTCAAGGGAGAAGCATGGTTTCAAGAAACCCAACCCTGGCTTCGTACAGCTAATAGGGCAGGAAGGGTTTGGAGCTGAGGGATAAAAGGTAAAGACCAGCACAAAAGTTACTGTATTTTAATGCCAGTTTTTTTGTCTCCACAATTCTAACAGAAGTAAAACTTGTCTATTTTATAATAGCATGATAGCATGATTGCTTCAGTTCATTTGTTTCTTCTCAGAAGCATTAAAATATAAGGTATAAGTAGTGCTTATTATATATTTGTACATTTTGTGTCTCCTCATTAAATGCATTTTTTCCTAATTATTTTCATTGACTTTCCTCCTGCTTGTACTTGAGAACTTAGGGATTTTACAAAATTCAGAAAATTCTATCTTCAAGTCATTAGTAAGTAATATTGTTCCTGGTGTCTTTTTAGGACTGTTTTCCAGATTAAAAAGTTAATCACCAGCTTCTCCTTTGCTACTAAATAAACTATAATTCTTCAATTAAGACATAAGTTAGACACTATAGTCTTAGTTCTTTCAGGATGCTATAACAAAATATCACAGATTGGGTGGCTTAAAGCAGCAGAAATTTATTTCTTACAATTCTAGAGGCTGGAAGTCTGAGATCCGGGTGCCAGCATGATCAAATGAGGGCCCCCTTCTGGGTTGCAGACTTCCCACAGTATCCTCCGATGGTGGAAGGGCTGGGGAGTTCTGAGGGGTCTCTTTTATGAGAACACTAATCCCGTTCACAAGGGCTCCACCGTCAGGACCTAAGCATCTATCAAAGGCCCTACCTCCTAATAGCATCAAATTGGACGTTAGGTTTTAAAACATATGAATTTGAGGTGGAACATATTCAGACCATAGCAGTCTTTAATGAAATGAAAATCAATTTTTTATAACTTTGCATTCTGAATTACAGTATTTCACTTTTAAGAGTAATGAAGTTCCACTAAATAAAATGACAAAACTTGAATATGAAAAATACAACGTATAAGCACCACTATTCTCTCTCCACAGCTCCACAAGGGTACATTATTGATGCTAACATTAAAGTGGTAAACTTTGAAATACTCATTTTTACATACTACTTTTGCCATATTAGCCATGCCATAAGATATTAGAAAAGTTAAAATTAATAAAACATTGTAAATCACACTGTTACTGCTACTTAAAAAATATTTGTATTGTTATTGCTTTTCAGGAAGCAACTGAAGTACTGTTGTGAAGAACAGGTTGAAACACAAATATAAGAACTGCTTATTTAAGAGCTATTTTGTTGCACAACAAGAAAAAGTCTACAGCATTGTCAAGAAAATATGCTAAAAATATTTTTGTAATATGTAAAATGCACTAATTAATTAGCTTTAATCACAAATCATATTTCTTCAAAATATAATTTTCTTTTGCTTCCTTATGTTTGTATGTTCTTACTTCGCTTAAAAAATTTTTAGAAATCTGATTTGTAAGCAGATATACCACCTCCAAGCTGCTGAATCAACAAATCATAAAATCCTTTAAGTAGTTGAAAGATCTGGTCTAGTTGTTTTTTTGTTGTTGTTGTTGAGTTATAGTCATTTTACAATGTTCTGTCAAATTCCAGTGTAGAAGATCTGGTCTAGTTTTGACTTAACTTCTTTAGATCAGATTGAAAGCATTTTGAATTGTTGTGTATACTAGGGGATCTGGTTTTCTCTATCCAGTCGTAAGGTTCTGATTTCCAATGATCTAAGCCATTTTAATTTGTAAGGATTCTGAAGAAATGAGATTCTTTCAGACCTTTTTTTGAGACTAAATTGCTGCTTTTCAGATCCACAGGAATTCTAGATTATCTTAGATTTCTGGGCCTGCCAATCCTGGCCAGAAAGAGTCTTCTTGATGTTCCTGGAACAAGTCCAAACTCCTCTGCTTCCTCCTCCTTCCCACTCACAACTGTCACTTCTAAGAGTGTGACCTCCTGTAGCCCAAGGGTACACCAGAAGAGATACTTATTTTCAAGAGGAAAACTTAGGGAATGCAAAAAAAGCCATAAATTAACATAGCTACATTAACCAAAAGCTCTCATACTATAAAAATTGCACTTTTTACTCAGAAAATTCTAAATGAAATGCTTAATTTAGAGGAATAAACCCAATAAACACTTTGTGGCCATGTTCAGAGCAAGTAGAGTGGCACTCACAGGAGTTACCTTCTAGCACGTGACACTCAGGACACATTTGGAACAGCTGAGAGAATTCAACGAAACCCAGGGCTGCTTCTTCTATATACCATTTCCTAGTATATTCACCCCAAGTCATTGTTAATCTTACTTAAGAGAAAAATTATTAACATTTACCATGTAGTAAATCCAAATATCTTTGTATATTTGTGGCATTTCATTCAGTCAAATCGACATCTATTTACCATTTATTGGATACCAGGCATTCTAGTGAGAAGAGTGCAAGGAATAAGATGCCGTTTCTGCTATCCACGAGTTCACACGGTAGTTGGGAAAACAGTGTGGGAAAGGTGTTACACAAAGATACAACATGCCATGTGAGAGGGACAGATGGTGCCAGAGAGGCTTAGAGGAGGGGCACTTGGCTGGGGGAGAGGGCATCCTGTGCGGATGGAGATGGATGAGGGACAGCTTCCAGAAGAAGATGGTTCTGAGATGAGTGTTGAGGAATAAAGCATGAGATTAGCCAAGGAAGAGTGTCCTGATAGAAGATATGGCAAAAACAAAGGCTAAAACACCACTAGGTAGAATTCCTTGAAGACATGAGGCTTTTCCTTACTCAACATTTTTCCTGCCATCTTACAAAGTATCTGGGACTAGTAGATGCAGACTCACTGTGCAGTGGATGAATGGAGCACGGGGAAATCAGCAGGCAGTCTGGTGCTACCTGAGCTCCAAACATGATCAGAGGAAAAGCAAGAGGCAAAGCTGGGGGGTGGGGTGGATGGGGTAGGGTGGGGAAAACAGCCATTTTCTGTGCTGCTTAGATTTACTCTGTGGGTCCCAGGGATGCAGTTTTAACCAGATATTAAAACAGAAGTTTGGGCTAGGACAGATTGTAAAGGGAGGTTCTAACCAAAGATACATAACTTAAAAGTAGGCTCGAG